CTTCTCCATGGTGGCTCCCTCTGTGTGGAACATCATCCCTGTGGGGATAAGATTGCCTTCCGCTTGACGCTATTTCCAACGGCTCTGAAGACATGGTTTTGCCAAGGGGTCTGGGGACCCCAGAGTGATATGGAGCTCATCAGGTGGTTGGTCCGATTTTCATCACCAATGGCGGCGGGGGGGGGGGGGGGGGGTTTACTGGTTTATTTGGGGTTTTATTTCTTGTAAGTCGCCTGGATTCACCATGAGTGAGTTGGGTGGGCTTTCTTGATGATAAATTTGCCGAATGAGCCACCCACAAAGAACTTCTGAAAGTCATAGTTGAGGCTGCTCTCCAGAAAGACCTGCCACCAAACTGGATGACTCTCTTCCTTGAATGTCATTGCATCCGTTGTTGGAACAGCTGGGGGACAAGACAACCAATACAGCTCTTTCCAAAACTGCTGTCAGGCTTGAAACACGTTTTTGCTTTTCCAACTGGTATCGCTTCTCAGCTTGCCAAGGCACCAGGGGGGAGGGAAGGGTGAGGTGGAATGTAGGCTCCAGACATCGAGAAGCCGAGCCGTGAAAGCCAAGGACGCTTCATCAGGTGTTTGCCAAAGCCAAAGGGTTTTTTCTCATAGCAATAAAGAGAGACTCAACTGGACCATGTGACCTGCCCTAATAGGGAGAAGGGAGGGTTTGCGTGGGTTTGCGCGGGAATTAGCTAGATCAGGTTCTGCCCTCTTCGGTGCCAAAACGACGTACCCAATAAGTTTTTGCATTCAGAGAAAAAAACAACAACTCCTGGGATGGAATAGGAGATTTGAAACAGTCAAGATGATTAATTAAAAGGAAGCTGATTGCAAGGGCACATCAGGGATCTGGTCACTCAGGTTTAACTACTGAAAGGATCCGGAATGGGCTCTGAGACAGATTAAGACAGAATAACAAGAGTTGGAAGGGACTTTGTAGGTCATCTAGTCCAACCCCCCCCTTCCCCAAGCAGGAGACCCTACACCATTTCTGACAGATGGCAGTCCGGTCTCTTCTTGAAAGGCTCCAATGATGAAGCTCCCACCACTTCCAAAGGCAACTTCTGTTCCATGGGTTGATGGTTCTGTCAGAAAAATTATCCTTATTCCCAAGTTGAATCTCTCTCCTTGTTCAGTTTCCATCCATTATTCCTTGTCTGGCTTTCGGGTGCCTTGGAGAATAGCTTGACCCCCTTCCTCCTCTCTGGGGCAGCCCCTCAAATATTGGAAGTCTGCTCTCCTGTCTCCCCTGGTCCTTCTCTTCACCAGACTAGCCAGGCCCAGTTCCTGCAACCGTTCTTCATACGTTTTAGCTTCCAGTCCCCTCATCATCCTGGTTGCTCTTCTCTGCACACTTTCTAGAGTCTCATAATCTTTTTTTTGCAAACCAGGCTGTTATAAGAGCGTGTTGGAAGAGTTTTTAGCTTAAACGCTTTCAAAATGCTTGAAATAGCAAGCGTGGAACTCGAAACACCCGTTTCACAATGAGGGAGGAAGCTTCAATGAAAAGTGAAGTTCCAAGAAGGTTACACACCCATTTGCACTCTGATTCAGGTGACCCCAAGAGCACAGATAAGCCCTCAGAGAGAGGACTAAAGACCAGATGACTGCAAGGAATTATAAATCTTTCCATCCGCCACCATTCAGGCAGAACCGAAGAAGCTCCTTGGATGAGGAGCGAAACATCTTCAAGGAAAAACCAGCTGCCTTATGGGAAAAAAAGCACCTTTGGGGGACAACCATGACTTGGGTGGCCGAGATTTTCCACAGACACCTTCACGGTAAAATAAGTGCTCAAAAGAGTTCAAGGCAACCCAGTTTGTGCCCCCCTATGAATTACAGGGAGTCCTTGACCTGCAGCCATTCATTTAGTGACTGTTCACAGTTGGGAATGTAATTTTTTGGCAGGCTTGTGATACTGCAGTGCAGAAGCTTCTTATGGGTGAACATAACATTGGAAATAGATTTTTCTTCTTCTTCTTCTAGGACTACAGAGTGTCTGACTTACAACCAGGGATGGGGGAAGGACCAGAGGAGGACCCCCAAATCCCACCCCTGGCTGGCCCCGCCCACCTCACCTCTCCCAGAAGTCCCCATGTGGCCCGTTTTGGATGCAGGTAAGGGCAGGGGACGCACAGAGTCTCGAGGGTGAAAAATGGGCCTCCCGGAAGTTCGGGAAGGCCGGAAATGGGTCCATTTCCGGCTTCCACAGAGCCTCCGGAGCCCGGGGGAGCAACACCCCCCCCCGCTATGGTGCAGGGGGCCGACTAAGCCACGCCCACCATGGCCACGCCCACCCAGCAACCGGGCAGAGAACCCTTTGCTAAAATTTTTGAAGCCCAACCCTGCTTACAACCGTCCATTTAGTGACCGTCTGAAGTTAACTGTGACTTCTGACCATTTTTCACATCTATGACCGTTGTAGCATTGTCACGTGATCAAAGTTCAGAGGACAACCGACTCGTATTGATGACGGTCACAGCAATCCCCTTTTTGTGACCTTCTGACGAGCGAAGCTCAACGGGGGGGAAGCCGGAATTCGCTCAACAACCGTGTCATTAATTTAAGAACCGCAGCGATTCACTTAGCAACCGTGCTGCTAACTTTTAACCACTGCAAGGATTCAACTTAACGAGGGTGGCAAGAAAGGTCGTAACGTGGGGCAAAAACTCATTTAACAACGGTTCTGCTTGGCAAAGGAAATGTGAGGGCACCATTGTGGTCGTAAGTCGAGGACGACCTGTGATCTTATTTGCACTGTATTTTAAAACAACAGATTTTTTTAAAAAAAAAAACCCTGCAAGGTTGCTGTCGCTACTGCAGACTCATTTCCTGTGAGGCTTCATCGCCAAGGAAAAAGTCTCCATCGGTATGACAAGCACGGACGGCCTTCCGCGGGGACCAGTGCGTTGATCTGCAAAACAACAGCTCCCTCAGACTTTTCTCCTGCAGAGTCCGATGTTCGGTTTTATAAAGAGTTTCCAAAAATTCAGATAAAAGGACAGAAAGGAGAAGTGCAACGAAGAGCAACAAAGATGTTTAGCCTCCGGTAGGAGACTGAAGGTTAAAACATACGAAGAACGGTTGTGAGAAATGCGTGTGTCTAGTTTAAGGAAAAGAAGGGTTAGGGGCGACATGATGGCCGTCTTGCAATATCTGAGGGGCTGCCCCAAAGAAGAGGGGGTCAAGCTATTCTCCAAAGCACCAGAAGGCAGGACAAGAAACCATGGATGGAAACTAATCAAGGACAGAAGCAACCTGGAATTAAGGAGAAACTTCCCAACAGTGAGGACAATTAACCAATGGAACTGCTTGCCACCAGAAATTGTGGATGCTCCAACACTGGAAGTTTTTAAGAAGAGATTGGATAACCATTTGTCTGGAATGGGTTAGGGTTCCCTGCCTGAGCAGGAGGTTGGACTAGAAGACCTCCAAGATCCAATTCTTTTATTCTGTTAAAAAGTATTGCAGACAAACTCTGTCAACTATCTGGTGTTCGATCCTGAACCAGCTTGACTCAGCCTTCCCTCCTTCCCAAGTCGGTAAAATGGGGACCCAGATTGTTGGGGGCAAGAGGCTGACGCTGTAAACTGCTTAGAGAGGGCCAGAAAGCACTGAAGTGGCATATAAGTGCAATTAATTAATTCCTTCCTCCCTTCCCCTCACCCCCCTTTCACTGAGCCTTGGTGGTGCTATGATTAGAATGCAGTATTGCAAACTCTGCCCACTGCCAGCAGTTTGATCCTGAATGGTTCCAGGTTGACTCAGCCTTCCGTCGTACGGAGGTCAGCAAAATGAGGAAGCAGATTGTTGGGGGCAAGAGGCTGACTCTGTAAACCGCTTACAGAGAGCTGGAAAGCACAGTGAAGCGGCATATAAGTTTCTACGGGCTATTGCTATTCAACTCTCCATTATTTTGCCCATATAAGACATTTCAAGGTACATCTAACACAACACAACTGCATAGAAACTTAAAGACACACGTAAGATACGACACCACCACCCCACGAAAAGTGGTGCAGGTAGAGTCTCCTTCTATACCCTAGGAGGGTAAAGTGAGCATACCAAGTAGAAAGTTCAAGAAGATTGGGCCAATGCTACAAAGGCAATACACCTTCTATGTCACCTTTGTTGAGCTGGATAGGTGTATTTGTTCAAATACATTTACACTTCAGACACAAGGTAAGCAACTACCCACCAGAGAGCGATTATGACCGTTTCCAACTGCTTAGAAGGAGAAATGGTAAGGAGCAAAGGCCTCTTCTGAGCTTACCTGAACAAAGTTGCTCTATCTTGGTTAGAGTTAGTTGTAACGACTCGTTGATCCAGGCGAGCATGTCATGTCGGCTTAAGTTATCACTCGTCACAGAGGTGGAATACACATTCACGGCCATTTTCTAAAGAAAAATTGATTGAGAGGGGAGACAGTTTTACTCCAGAGTTCAGAGTCATACCTGTTCCTAGACATCATCTGAATCATCATCATTTTAGGGCATTCTCTTATAAGCTCAGTTTACCGGAGAGAACGTAGCTCAGTGTTTCTCAATCAGGGAAATTTTAAGATGGGTGGAATTAAATTCTCCAATTCCCAGAGTTCCCCCTGCCAGCATATGCACAGCTAAAAGGTTTACTCCACTCTGTGTGTGTGTGTGTGTGTGTGTGCCTGCATATATATGTATATGTGTGCATATATTATACATATATATGTATATGCATAATATATATGCATATATATGTAAATATGTTACACATATAATATGTATATATTATATATATTATAATTAGATGACCCAGGTTGTTGGGGGCAATATGCTGACTTTGTAAACCACTGAGAGAGGCTTGTAAAGCACTGTGAAGCGGAATATAAGTCTAAGTGCTATTGGTAAGTAGGAAGGGAGGGAGGGAGGGAGGGAGGGAGGGAGGGCCATGGTGGCATAGTAGTTAGAATTCAGGATTGCAGGCTAACTCTACCCACAGCCTGGAGTTTGATCCTGACCAGCTCAAGGTTGACTCAGCCTTCTGTCCTTCTAAGGTGGGTAAAATGAAGAGCCAGATTGTTGGGGGACAGAGGCCAACTCTGTAAACCGCTTAGAGAGGGCTGTACAAGCAACGT